ATGAAAAATATTTAAATATCTTTTTACAATGATTTCACTGTTTAACAAATTTTTTACTGTTGCATATATAACATAATTGATGGAATAATTTGAGCTTTGCATATATAGACCGTTTGTGTATCTTTACTCAATCTTTACGTGGTGAGAAAAAAATTCCACTATTTTAGCCAGCAAAATAAAGCGAGCGAGACATTGTCATTGGGTTAGATTAGAACTGTGACTTAAACAAAAAGCGAGCGAAGCGAGCCATATAGGGTGACCATTTCGAGAGATTTAATTAATTGGTAAGGTTACAACTGTGACTAAAATAAAATGCGAGCGAAGCGAGCCATAAAGAACACCATCAATAGAAAACTGATCAATCATTTAGATTAGAACTGTAAATAAAACAAAACGGTTATGTTAGCACTGTGACTAAAACATAAAGCGAGCGAAGCGAGCCATAATGAGTAATCACTAAGAGAGATTTGGTTAATTGATAAGGTTAGTACTGTAACTAAAATAAAATGCGAGCGAAGCAAGCCATAAAGAACACCATCAATAGAGGCCTGGTCAATCAGTTAGATTAGAACTGTCAATAAAATAAAAAGCGAGCGAAGCGAGCCATAATAAATGGAGACCTGGTCAATTGCTTAAGCGAGCGAAGCGAGCCATAATGCTAGACCATTAAGAGAGACCTGATCAATCGATTATGTTAGCACTGTGTCTAAAACAAAAAGCGCGCGAAGCGAGCCATAAGGAGTAACTGTTAAGAGAGATTTGGTTAATTGGTGGGGTTAGAACTATGACTAAAGTAAAATGCGAGCGAAGCGAGCCATAAAGGACACCATCAATAGAGACCTGGTCAATCGGTTAGATTAGAACTGCGAAAAAAAACAAAAAGAAAAAGCGAGTGAAGCGAGCCATAATAAATGGATACCTGGTCAATCGGTTAAGGAACTGTGACGAAATGTGCTTATAAGTGTGCTATTTAAGACTGAGGCTGAAATTTTAAATATCAAGATGGCGGCTAAGACTGCGACCATTTTATCTAGAAAATGTATATATTTTTCACGGTTTTTACTTCATAGAGCTGATTTTGGCGTTATTGTTAACATTTTTCAAATTACTTACAGAAAAAAAATGTATTCAGTTGAAGTGTTGCCGGATGATAAAAAACTGTTGTTTTTTGTTACTGTGATTTTTAGGAAATTTTCTATTGAATAAGAATAAAATAATACAAGGTGATTTATACAACATTTATTTTAAGTTTTTCATACGTTTTTCAACTGAATATTTCTTTTTATATTGCGTGTAAACTGGCAACCTTTTTTATGTATGATGTTTTGCGTACTTAAAGATCTTTTATTTCAAGATAGAACTTACTAACTTTTTCTAGGCAATTTTATACTGTAAACCCAACATAACAAGAGGCGGTCTTAAAACATCAATATCTGTATTAACTAAATATTAACTTACTTTTGAATAAGAATAAGAGAATAAATGACTACACTAAATAGATCTATTTAGTTTAGTTTAGTTAAGTTTTCCTTGCGTTTTTCAACTGAATATTTCTTTTTCTATTTAGTGTTAGCCGGCAACCCTTTTTCTTTGACGTATGGTGCTGTGTGTACTTAAATATAATTCATTTGAAGATAGAACTCACTAACTTTTTCTGGGAAATTTCAAACTGTAAGCACAACAAGAGGCGGGCTTAAAATCCCACCGCTCCGATTCCACAAGCGACTCGGTTATGCTCAAGAATTTTACAATAAGTGAAGCAATAAAAACTGTATAGGTTTATTATGACATATGGGTTAGGTTAGGTTAGTGTATGAAAAACAACGCACGAGCCGAGCGAGCGTAGCGAGCGTGCCGCGGCAGCGGCCGGCGAAGTGCCAGAAACGAATCGCTTTTGTTGATGGTTTTGGTTTATAATGTTTAAAAGATGATCGTGACCAATTTAATTTCAATTTTGATTTCAATGGACTTGACAATTCGGGATCTTTATAGTGAGAGACTATAATTTATTTGTAGTTTTGCTTGCGTTTTTTGACTAAATATTACTTTTTCTGTTACTTACTATTGAATAAGAATAAGAGAATAAAAGACAAAACTTATTTTAAGTATCTATATAAAATTTATTTTAAGTTTTGCTTGCGTTTTTCGACTGAATATTTCTTTTTCTATTAAGTGTCAACTGGCAACACTTTTTCTTTGATGTATGGTGCTTTGTGTCCTTTAACACCTTTTATTTGAAGATAGAACTTACTGACCTTTTCTACGCAATTTCAAACTGTAAACCCGACATAACAATAGGCGGACTTGAAACCCCACCGCCCCGATTCCACTAGCTACTCGTGACCTCCCCGGGCTGCTCGCAGCCCGGGGCAACCAAGCGAAAGCTAGTATTATAATAAAGAGGAAACAGTTGATTGTTTGTTTGCAACAGATAGACTCTGTAACGAATGGACCGATTTTAAAAATGATTTCATCAACGGGAAGTTACATCATATGCGGTGGACTTAGGCTATATCTTATCCTGAAAAACAGTAAATAAAGGGATGTGTGGAACAGAAAGGAGTTTGGACTTACTTTTAGTTTCTTCGATAGCCCAGGGTATTAAGCCGCTGGTCGTAAGTATCCCACGTTGTTCTGGGATGATTTTGCTTTTGGTTGGAATGGGACCTTGTGGGATCGACCAATAGCTATGGCGGCGGTAATGCAACAGGCAGCTCTCAGTGACTGTCTGTCTACCCTCGATTATTTTATATTTGTCCAAATTAGGGAAAGGTAGGTAGGCGGATGAATAAAGTTGTTTTACCATATTCAATACTTTGTTTGTAACACATTTTGAAACCGAACAAGGGATGAAAATGGAAGTGGACGTTTGTATAAGGAATTAAAACATTACCATAGTAACCATTGTTTACTATTCAATTTGATCCGTGTCATGACATGATTCGATATCCAAATAAACAGTTCCCTAGGAACCACGCGGTTGCAGCTGCTGGCGGGAAGCCAGTTATCTATAAAATAATAAGACATGCTCATTGACAAAATACATAAAAACGTTTTTGTAAATATGGCTTCAGTTATAGCGGGAGAGTTAGGCGATAAATATCCTGGTCTTACCTTGCTAGGTGAATGGGACTTATTTTTTTATATAAATTATTTGTCTTTTTATTTTTAATTATATTTGATCTATTTCGCATTCACACTGCTATACTGGAAAATATTCTTAATGAAAAACTTAAAAATCCACTTTGTCCCTGGTACTGAGATGAGATTCGAACCCACCCCCTTTCGCAATCCAAGCGACTGCTCCAACCACTGAACTACCCAGAACCTAATAGGACTGACGAATTTTTCACGCACTTGTTACTTTTTCGCTACTTGCGGATTATTCAAGCATTTTTCATTAAGAATATTTTAGTTGTTTGATAGAAGTAATAATAATATAGAACAAATGGACAAAAATATCCAAATATCACATTTACCAATGAATAAATGATTTCGTTTGTTTGTTTAGTGTACGATGAGCGTGATCTGCATGTTATAAAAATAGCTATATTTATGCAATATACTGCAGTATTTTTTTGTCACTTTATCCCTGCCTGCTGTATAGAAATGTGGATTCCCAAAGAAAGCTAACAGTTTGGTAGTCAAGTATTGTTCAGCTGACAGAACCTTACTAAACGGTTTATAGACGAGTTTCTTAAGCTAATAATATAAATAAAAAATAGATTACCTAATAAGCTAATCAAGCTGTGATTAGTTTCGTATCTCGTAATAATAAACAAAAATATGACAAATATAGTATCGCCATCTAGTGAGATTTATTTTCAGTATTTTCTTTTGTTTTAAAATTATTCTTCATTGTGGCAACCCGTTTTCGTTAATACTATGTGGGTAGCCAAATTCATATTATCTTTATATTCTCTTCATTACTCAATTAAATATTCTATTTTCAATAATCATAAGTCAAAATTTTCTAAAGCGTCCAAGGATTTTTTTTTTTTTGTGATGACGGTGTACAGTTAGTACAGTACATAAATATCATAAAAACTGAATGAATTAATCGAATTCGAATTTTGTAGGTGCTAAACAAAATAAACAATATGGTAATTGTGTTCGTCATGATTGAAATACATGCTCTGAAATCATGTCAACATTATAAATAGATTATGGTTTGTCATTATAAATAGATTTATAGGTACTCTAATAAGTTAATTCTAATGGTGAAGATGGGTGGCGCAATGAAAAACTGGTAGAATTCCTCAGTCTTGTTTTTATTTCCAATCGGTATAATATTAATTCACTTACAACGAAATACTATGATACTCACTCTATGCCGGTCTCGATTAGAAAGAAGGATTGTCAACCAGAAATACACGAACACGCGACTTCGAATACGAAAAAAGTAATAATTTTAAATATTAACGGCCAGCATTGACCATAAACCGTCCGAAGAGTAAACCCACCTATAGTAATGTGCACGGACGTTACAGTACCTATTATTAAAACTGATTTAGAAAAGCGTAAATAGTAGGTTTAATGTATATCATTCTTTCCGGGATATATGTTCTCACGATTGTATTCTAACTCCACTGGTACTGCAGTTCCTCTATTATTATTTCATCAACGATAATAACCTTCCATAGTGATGATGACTGGGTAGCAAAAAAGAAATTATATTTAGTCCATCAGAAAAATATTAAATGCATTTTTTTATTCATTTTAATAAGAAATGGCCTTGATGATGGGAATTAAATTTGAAGAGTAGAGGCTCGCTACGTCACAACTATGAAAAAAATGTATAAAAGTGTTACGTTATACGACGTTTCAACTCGATGTATCTCCATATGTTATTGATTACGTAAAAAAAATATAAAAGTACTTGTTAAATATTCTACCTAACGGTCAAACAGACAAAAATTAGTCATCATTCCTTAATAGGTATAACGATATATGATAATTTATATTTGACAATGTCCTCTCACACAAATTGTTACTTTAAGGTGACCCTTGAGGAGCAAATGATATGCGGCGCACTACAAACTCTCAACGAAGAGGCTATGGAGGATGTTCTGCAGACTGACACAGTGCCAGGTGAGAACCAGGAGTCCAGCGCGCCCCTCGTGTCGCCCGCGCCCCCCGCACAGGGGCCGGCTCGAGGGCAGGTCGTTCTCAATCTACCCGATGATGTGTTCCTGTAATCGGATCTGGGAGACAGAGTCTCATAATAGGGTATTTGACACTTTTCTGAAAACTATTGTAAATATTTTCTTGATGAATTTCTTCTATTTTCGATGAAAATAATTTATTGTTAAAGTTTAAATAGCCTAAATCGCGCAAATAACGCTGCTCTATTTAATGTCGCTGATCACGTGATATTTGTGACGTCACACGCCTGTAAATATGTCAAAGCGACATAACCTGTTTATCAACTATTTATTTACGAAGAAAATTGAAGTTAAATTTTATATTTTGTATCTACTCTGGTTTTGTTTATAAAAATAAGCTACAAATTGTATACAACTTTTGCGTATGTCTAATAAAGCTGTTTTGACATGACAGCTACCTGTTTACGTGTGACGTCACACACCGGTAAACTGAACCTGCTATTGCATGAACGACAACCAATTACAGGGCGTTTTCGTCGTTCATTAAAATTACTGAATATGTTGGATTTTCTATACGTTATTTTACTAAAGCTAAACATATTTTGTCTGCAGATTTTAAGAAATAAACTTTAGATTATTATCTAACAGGATGACCACAACATAAATTTTCAATAGTGTCAAATACCCTATTTTGAGATATTGCCTGTTCAAACGTCAAATTGTTCTCTTTTTAGGCGAAATTGATCGGATTCACAATTTTCGCGAATTGGTCGAATTGGGATTTTTATATCAGTCTACTGCGAATTTGCCCAATGGCGCCTAAGAGCAGTTTTATCAAGTTGTTATGAACAAGTCTGGTTTTTTTGTCAGAATACTTGATGTACTTCTAATAATTAGAAACACAGATGGTATGTATTTGTTTACGCAATGGCGTTAACTTTTAGTGAGAATAATATATTTTTCCTAAAAAATATATACAGTTTTATATTTTCGTACTTTATTGGATAATAAATAAGGTTCGTGTACATAAAATCATCACTTTATTATCATTCACTATACTAAAATAAATAAAAATGTCAATTATTCTTTTGTTGAAAACTTGGCGTGTTCGTAACATTAACTAAGATGGATTATTTTTATTTATTTATTTTATAGTTACTTTTAATTGATTTCAATTTAGATCAGCAATCCAAAGAATGTTTTCTTGTATTACATCTTATGTTTGGTTATTTTATTGTTATTTACCATTACAAAATTTTAGTTAAAATTAGAAATAATTTATAGCTACGAACAATATAAACAGGTAGGAGTTTCAAGTCGAGTATATAGAGATTATTTTCCAGTTTGTTATTGTAGCACACTTACAATATTTTAAAAGACATATGAAGTTATCGTTAGTGAAGGGGCTAAGGGGTGGAAAGCCGAAAAATTGCCACGAATTGTAATGGCGGCGTCCCTCCAATTTTCTATTTAGATAGAATTAAATATATAGTAAAACCAAAAAAGTACGAGTCAGCCCTGGGTGAACGATAAAAGCCTAAACACGTAGGGCTGTCACTTATAGGATACTCAATCGTCAGAAATGCAAAGTCAAGCGGCGTAGCAATTTAGTAGCAAATTTGATTTATATACAGTCCATTGTTATATTCAATAGGCGACCTTATGTTAGTTTTTTTTTTATATGCATTTAAATATCGCTTGAAACATTCCATTGTTGAAACAATTATATTGGCTGTGTATGTTTCATCGTGATATGATGTACTTAGATGTAATAGTAATGCTTGTGCCATTTTAACCACAATATTGTCAAAGATACAGGATGCGTGTTCAAGTGTGTACTTAGTAATTTATGCAATTACGATAACATATAATTCATAAATAGTTGAGCGTTTACTTATTAAAAATAAGGCATTACATAGGGTGGGTGGGACCCAGTGAATTCCTTAGGTAAGGTTAGTCCAAATTAGTAGAATTTAGAATTTTTCAAACATATCTGTTTATAAGTGTGATATAATGCTCCGTATGAGTTACTAGTTTATGTAGTTTTCAATGTTGTTATATTTGTATTAATTTGAGCAGACATTTTAAAAGATATAATAATAAATATGAATGAAACTATATTGCGGGCGACTGCGAGTGTCCTGTCACACGACGACGGCCGGCATTGTCGCGGTATTACTTTAGCATTCCATTGAAACGTGCCGTGATGTATTCTATTTATAACATGATGGAAATAAATTTACAAAAGTTATCGGTGGTTTAATTTCACTCCCGAAAGACCCCCCAAGTTGTCGGCCGTCTCATCGTCGAACGCGCTCGCGGCCGCTCTGTGTTAAATAACGAGACGTCTCCAGCTCGCGGCCACCGTTGCATGAGCGCTCGCCGTCACCGGTGTAAGTCCCGCAAATTGCTAATGCTTGTCTTAATAAAACACGCGTGACGTCATTTGAAATTAGAAAGTATAGACAAAGCAAAATGAAAGAAATTATTTTATTAATTATTAAAATGTTTATGAATAATCCCCAAAATTTTGTAATATTAATAATTTTATAACTTACAGTTTGTTAATTTATTGAAAGAATTTTCGAAAAAGGCCAATTTTAAAATTGATTATAAATAAGGGACGATTTTTTTAAAACATTGCCAAAAGTAATTATGAACTAAGAGTCATTAGATATATTTGTTTTCAATGAAATCAGGCTTATTTTTTATGGAAACCATAATAGCAGTTGCTATTTAAGTCAACCATAACAAGTAAAAAAAACGATAGCAAAAAAAATTTGTGATCTCAGCACAACCCAACTTAATAATTGACTCATCAACCAGTGTTTATTTGTTGACTGTACCGATTGTTGAACACAGTTATGTCACCAAAATGGCCGCCAGGCGCATTAGCAATTTGCGGGGGTTATACGATACCGCGGCGTCTCGTTTCAGACGAGGAGAGCGAGCTGCCGCCCGCGCGCGAACCGCCCATCCTCAAGAGCGCCGGCAGCTTCCGTTCGCGACGGGCGCTCGCGGAACCGCCCGCCGTCACCTTCAACGTGGAGAACGAACAGGAGTCCGATGACGACGGACAGATCACGTTTAGCGCGCGGCCGCGCCCCGCCGTACACTACCGCGCCCCGCCCGCCCCCGCCCTATCCATGACAGTGGACGAACCGCGCCGCCCCCGCTCGCGCCCCTCTTCATTACTGATGACGGAAGAGGAGGAACCCGCGCGTCTGGCCGCCCGCTCGCGCTCCGTCGAAGACTCCACTCGCACCGGATCGCCGGTCGTCGATCTAAAACTGCGCAATCTCCGTCGCACCGCGGACATCCTCCGCAAGGTCAGCTCCGCCGAACGGCTTTCGCGGCTGAAAGACAAGATCATGTCGCGGGGAAGTGGGTCCCGGGAGCGCAGCCCGGAAGCTGTGGCGAGCGACGACGAATCGGCGCCACTCGTGTCGCCACCGCTCGGCGTCGATTGCCGTGATGGTGCCGCGAGTGCGGACCCGTCGCCGCGGTCCGATCTCACCGAGCTCGATTCCCCGCGGCCGGCGGCGGGCGTGACAGATTTCGATATGCTACCGGCGGGCAAGGGGAGCGGGCGCGAATCACCGCGGCGGACGCCTCGTCTCGACAGTACCACGTCGCTGTCCAACATGGTGGAGCCGTATAACATGCGGTTGCTCGCCCACGGAACTTCAGAGAGCTGCCGCGCGCTGTGGCGACAGGACGCGTTGGACTCGGGCCCGCCCTGGCCATGGGACGACCCCGATTCAGCGGTGTGAACGAATCCCCCGAGGACTCGATTAGAGCCGCCGCCGGTTTGACGCGACACGTCGACTCACTTCGACGTTAGCCGCGTTCAGCCGAAAATGTTTATCGATGTTCACTAGCGTACGTTTGTATGCATTTATTTTGTTCACGCAGAGCACAAATTCGTGATTTCTTAATATAGCCTCACGTACTTAATACAGAAATGAAGACAAAAGTATTATTATATAAGTATTGCATTTAAATGTAATACAGTACTCAGAATTGTGATATTGTATCCTTAAGTGTAAGGAAATATAATTATTTTTTGTCGATATTGTCGTTTCCTTTTTGTATGGTAACAGCGTGTTTTATTTAGAATACAGGTTACTAATTCATACATAAAACACGCTGTTGCAGATTATTTTACAGGTAAAGCTTGTTATCAATGCACAACATATTAACGATGAATTTTCTTTTATGTTTATTACAGTAGTAGTATTCAAAATAAGGATATTAACAAAAGGCAGTCATTAGTTGGTCAAAAAAGAAAAAAAAACTAATATATACTGAAACGAATATAATATAACATTTGTGCACTGATTACAATTATTTCCTGTATATTATATTGCGTATAGTTGGACACAGCTACCGTCTTTTCAATGATACGGGGTCCCGAGGTCGTATGTCAGCAATAATTCGTAAAGTAATATTCACAATTTCACTTAGATTATGTAGAATTGTAGACAATCGAGTATCTCATCTTTACTGAAACGATAATCAAAATCATTCTACCTAATACAGATCATATGTAAACGTTACGTCACTTATAGAATCTACACCAGCTAAATAGAATATAGGTTATAAAACATGGCCGAGTTTTAAAAAAATGAGCAAGACAAAGTTAATATTGCCATCAGTGGCGTAACTATACCGTTCGAGGCCCGTGGCAAATTCTTCGGATATTCAATTGTTTTTTTCTAATTGCGTGAAAATAAATGTCAAAAGTAGTCTCCTCTGGCCGGGGGCCCCTTCCAGCTGCGGGCCCGTGGCATTTCGCCGACATGCCACCCTTTTATGCCACTGATTGCCATACATCTGACAAGTTTTTGGTATGCCGAAAATACATAAGACGACATATTTGTGTCACCAAAGATGACAAAAAATCGCGTAAATCTCATTTTGCTAACAAACGTCGTTGCTGCATTCATTCAATTACAAACTGTATCCTAATGATTACAAGGCTAATTTTAGTATCACGTTGACCGTCGGCGCTGACAGGCTAATATGTACGGGCTCTAAAGAAGCGTTCTATAGTTACACCGAGGTCGTCAGCGCCGAGCCGTGCGCGTTGTTGCGCGTCAGCGCCCCTAAGCGGTCAGCGCTGATTATCGCACGCGCGACTCTTCGGCGAGCGTTCCAGATCGAGTCGAGCGAACGCCGTCAGCGTATACAGTCAAGAGGAATGGTGATGAACACAGTAGAAGTGCGTAACTGCATCTGATCCACTCTACAAAAATAAAGATTAAAAAAAACAAAGCACTACTGCATCGCGGTAACTTGTCACCAAAGTTGGCTATTAATTAACGCGTCAATATTTCTTGTTGATATGCGTAGAATAGAATAGAAAATTCTTTGTTAACATAACACGAGTTATATTTACAAATTTAAAACAGTTTTACAAAATAATGTAACAATTGGCGGCCTTTTCGCTTAAATCGATTTCTTCCAGGCTACCATAAAAGTTTATGAAGACGGGGTGTAAATGTTATTAAAGGACTTGGTATCGTCATCCATTTTAACTCTGTTTCAAACAGACTCGACTGGTTGAACAATGTTACAAATACACCCACTAGCAATCTTTGAGCAAAAGTGGATGAACATGCTGTGCTCATCTTTTTCGTTGTCACTTCTTTTGCATAAATAATACACTGCAGCAATTTGAGCACTCACAGGATTGGCCATGTTTGTACTTGGCAGCGATCAGCACGGCAGTGAAACAAGTGTGCGCTGATAGCTACGCGCTTAGACGTCAGCGCGGACGGTCCGGGTTACACTAAAACCAGTCTTAAGAGTAATCATTGCCATGGGCTTTGATTGGTCTTTACACGTAAAGAAATAAAGTTTATAATTGAATATACGGATGACATCGGCATTACAAGGACATAATTTAAAAATGTTTAAAAACCGAAATATCCAACGACGAAAGCTTGCAGGACTTAAACTTGGGAAATATTTTTTTAAAGATTAATTACTTAATGTTTTTGTTCCTATGTTATGAATAATATTGTCCATTTTAGATAAAATTAGTATTTTCGCCTAAAGCATATTAACAATGACAACGATCTCTTGTCATTAACAAGAGATCGCGTCAAATTAAGACATATTTTTACCGCGTTACTAAAGTTATTTGTTCTTTCTAGCGTTTTTGATAAATCTACATATCAAAATGTAAAGGATATCATTAATACATACAATAAATATTTTTTTGATGACTTTATTTCATAACATTCACAATCATAATAGTGAAATAAATAAGTATTCAATAACTTAATCTCTTTTATAAAAACGTTTATGATTGACATTATTAATTACTGAGTCGTCAAGGCTTGAAGGAAAGTAAGAATTCAATTTACGATCCAACTATTAAATAAAAAAAAAAAGCATACAAAAATGTAGATTTTAGTTTTTTACTAATAAATATAAGGATTTACTTTATTACACTTTGTTGTGCGATGCTAAATACTTTTACATGAAGAAATATATTCTTATATGAAGAAATGTATTTAAAAATCAACAATCATAAATGATACAAAATAATATATTACATCAAAATAAACATAAATCTACTTTACAAGTAAATATTTTATCACATCACATATGAATTAAGTCCCATAATGAAAATATAATGTTAAGCCTATGTTGCTCCCCAAATTTGCTGCATCGTTGCTGCATTTTGAGTGTTACATATACATTTTTTTAATGTAAGTTTACGACAGTGTTTACGTTTAATTTTCAGAACTTATACATTACTATAATACTAACAACAAAGTTTTAGAGATCACAAAGTGTATCAAAGCCTATATTTTTTTCTATAACACACGTTTCAACATTCGTATCACCAAATAATTAAATTCATTCACCGAACAACTCATTTACATCAGCAGGCCAATCTCCTATGTTTTTCCTTAAAATCGCATTTCAATAGAATCATAACTACTCGCATTTTGCTGTTGTAATATCTACCTAAAGTCCAATATTATTAGTGCAATAATTTCCTTACACATCAATGGTAACAGATATATAATAAGATCAGATTTAAGATAGAAGAAGTTAAGATTCATAGCAACACAGCAGATTGGTCTGCTGAACGCATACACATCTACTTAATATGACAAAATGAGTACAAAGTATATTTCTTTAAGAATGCAGATGGAAAGATCTTTCTATATTAATTAATATAAAGATAGAACAAGTGTCCAACACATACATAGTTCTGATAATCAGGAACTAAAAAATTTAGAGAAATCATATAAAACTTAGCTTAAAATGTCAGACACCCTTGGAAGTACAGAAAATCTAGCATTCAATTTTGGACATTGGTAGCCTCCCTTTCCGGTTGTACAAATACAAATTTGCAATACAAAATGCGTCAAATCATGCCTTGTCTATACAGTAAGGAATTCCGCTGGTTAGTTTAGGTTAGTATGATGTTCTTGGAAATTAAACTCTTTATATATAATCAGACAGATATGGCTTCAACTCATTTGTTATGTATACATATACAGTTTGTTTTATACTATTATAAAACAAAGATGAAGGTTTATATGTATGTGACACCGCGGGCGAAGCCGCTGGCAAAAGCTAGTAATAATCTGATCTAAACTCTATTAGATATAACAGAAATTTTTAAATCGCTTTAAGCGACAGTGCTATTTGAAGATATAAATAGAAATAACTCTTGTAATATTATACTTCACACAAAAACTACCACTCTTAAGCACTTACATTTAAGTTCAATTTATATTTAAGAAGTGTATTGTCGAGTTTATAGTAAAATTTATTTTTATCATTACCTTCAAAGTGTATTAATTTGAAAATCAATAAAATAATCTCATAGCTCGACTATTATTGTTAAGTATGAACAATATCATTGGAAACAAGTTGTAACTATTTATTTATTCAATACTATTAACTCTATCCAGTTTAGTATAGTTTCATTGTATAGATGCGTTATCTATTTAATATACGTAAGACATGACTCATTTGTGACCTGCACATGCTAAATTTAAGAGCGTGGCAAATATCGGCCAATCAGAATAATTCAAATATCACGCCATCAGACAATCCACCAATACCCTGATGAGTGTAAGTGAGACAGACACCTAATGCGTTTTATTTTACATCTTATGATTATTGAAACAAGAATAAAACATTGTGATAGTAGTTCGTCGGAATTGGTAGATCTACTCTGCGCAAAACGAAAATCCACATGCCATATTAGATGGAACTTAATATTTTGATTTTCTATTAAGGTAATAAAATAAATAAAAAAGTTTATACGATTTGGAAATAAAAAATTTATACCATAATATACATATATTCGTATTACTGCCAATGGAAGAAAGTGATTGCTATAGGCTACTTACTAGCTTTCACTAATAATTTATTACATCATGTAATTTCAGTTTTACTAAAAAACGAGATTCGATGTAAACACAGAGTCTATTGCATCATAGTGCTATGTAGAAAGATATAATATGGATACACACTTCTGCACGTCACGTTACGACAATATGTCAAATTTTCACAACTGAATTTTAACTCTATACTCGATGTAATAATTTTTAAAATCAACTGGGGAAATTTGACAGTTTCGTGTGACCTGGCATGACCGTACATATTCTATAACGGCAATTTGATTTTGCCACACAGATGAAAGAGGTGTAAGTTTATTCATATATATACTTTTTTTTATTTACTGAACCAATCATTCAATGAACCTCGTTCAATATTAAATAAAACATTGCTATATGTATTTTGATAGGCAATAAAATTAAAATAATGCTGCTTAAATTGGCAAGGCCCTTCAAGAGTAGTGTCGATCTGTTACAAAAACATTTTGGGGCTCAATGGCTAATACCTAAGTCATTATAACTGATTAGAATTCACTGTTCTTAGTCTGCACTATGAGTAATTAAAGTCCAGTTTTCGAAATATTGAAATCTGTCAACTGTCAACGCTGAAATCGATGCATTAAAATTAAACCACTTTTATATTACTTATGTTATTTGCATTCTCCTCTATTGCCTTATCTGGGGGATCGGAGCGGAGCCTATTATCGTCCTGGTCTGGTTCATCGGCTGCTTCTTCAGCGTCAGAGGGGAGGACGTCATCAGACGGAACGTCGCCTGAAGGCGGCGCTGGCGTTGTGAGGGCGCTCCACCAACCGGAGAGGGCGCCTCGCGCTTGAGATAGAGCTCCGCCGACGGCCCGCGACGTCGTGGCCACTGCACGGCCTGTGCTAGCCACTGCCGCTGTCACTTTCCGCCCTCCTTCCGTTGTAGACATCGTACTGTTGGAGTTACACAAATATAAATTTAAATACTTTAACGGAGCGCAGCGGCGCGATCTTTCGTTTACCCGTTGCTAGATGGCATTAGGTGTCATCTGAATCATGCTAGCACCATGGAAACTACGTAAGTCATACGTCGGCAAGAAAGGGACGCACTGGGAAAGATAGGAAATCGTAGCAGAGATAGGGAAGTGTAGCAACTTTTTGGTAATATCGCGAATACACCGGTAGGTCCGAAACCAGCTCGGAATGTTCAAGATTCTAACCTAGAATATTCTAGATATGGCAAAGTCTACCTTGGCCCCCGTAAAAACGCAGTAGGCTATACGCATTCTTTCAGTGACTTGTGAACTAAATACGAGAGCGATTACAAGCGAAATTCGAAGCGATAACTAGTGAAATGAACTATCCGGACGATCTAGTAGTGTTGTGAAGTAACAAGTACCCACCTAGTGACGTGATTAGGGAAGTTGGAGTGTGTATTTTGTTGTTGGATAATTTGTTTGAATTTTTATTCCGACCCTTAGCTCGTAATATTAATAAGAAACAAATAAATGACGAAAACATGAAAAAACTCATTCACAATTCGAAATAATTAATTTCCTACATCCTGCAAAAAATATCACATCTATTCACTATCTCTCTTGTTTTTCCAATAACCATTTATCGACAAGTAATTTGTTCAAAATGTAATTCTTGATTCACAATAAACGGTAAAATAATTGAGGAGTTGGAGGCCTTATTAATTGTATTCATATATTGAGGCAGCATATAACTTCAGGTTTTAATTGACCATAAAAGTAATTGACAAGGACTACATAAAACTGCTTAGAACATCCAGTAGACGATTAGAAAAATCAGTGTCAGCTGCATTTTTCTTTAAGGTAACCAATAAAGCCATGCAAAAACTGATCAAATATAATGATGGACTATATTCTTGAATGTGCAATGAGCTCTGTCGTTTTCGCATTAAAATCTATTATACTCACTGAGCTAACTTCAGTTTCATATCTGCTACTGACAACTGTCCACAAAAAGGATGCATGGGGGTAAGATTTGTGAACGCTTCAATGTTACCATTATTTGTATTCTTCAACCATTGCTGGTAAGCTGGTGTAGTTTTAAAAGCTGCCATAAATTGAGCATTATAAGAGTCTATTTCTCTGCTGCCTTCTGTAATTGCCAAATAGAAATATAAATAAGATTATTATATCAATATATTTTCTGCATGTATTCATTGTGTAATAGCATAAGCACCCAGTTGCACAAACATTCATTAAGGTTTAATGGCAACATTAAACTCTAATGGACATTCGATATTTGAAAATTTATATTGTTAATGACCCTTTAAATTAAGGGCAATTTTAATTAATGTTATTGCAACGGGCAGATTGTCTTAATAACTTACATACCTGGCAACAAAGATGTCCTTAAAAGATAAATTAGATAACTAGAAAATTGATCCCTAATCCAAGAATCACCCTGAGTGGAACCATGACGTACCACATGATCTGCAAATCGTAGATCCTCGGTGCCAAGAGTTAACTGTCTCCTTAATGCTATATCAGCAGTTTCTATTCTCATCTCATTCAATTCAACAAGGACATCAAATAACTGCCTCTTCTGTTTAAAAAGTACATTAGAAGCACCAACTACGAAGCCTTGAACAGCAGAATCTGACAAAAGGTCAAGGTACTGGAGTGATAAATAAGGTAAACACAAATAACCATTCTCGAACAATGGCAATGGGAAACCACACTCTGCATGATCTATTTGCCCTGTTAAATTATATAACCCATCAACGCTCATGTCACGAGCCATTGTAGGACTTTGTTGAGCTTCTATTATGACTTTCTGTGGTTTATATTTGTCACCTATACTATGGCATTTTTCTCTACTAGCTGAAGAGATCTCTTGTCTATCCACAACGTCTGTTAGGATAGTCTCATCAAAACTTTGCCGGCTGACTCTATCTTTTTCCTCCAACAAATTGCCAGTTTCTTTTGGTGATAACTCCTCAGCTTGGCTAGATCCATCAATAAAAGATTCATCGGATACTTCTGTAGCACTCTCAACTACATCGTTACTTTGAGTATCAAACATTGGAACTGGCGATAAAGGTCTTGATAGTCTGAGAAGAAAAAATGGAACAAATGTAACTTAATAAAGATGAAGACTTATTTTCGTTTGTTTGTCCGTCAGGAAGATTGTTGAAAATTATTAAACACGTATTTTATTCGTAATCATTAAATTATGGCGATACATTGAGTTAAAATGTCATATGACGTCACGCTTTTGTACATTTTCAACAAAACTGTGAAGTAGGGAGCCCCCACTCCTTAACTTTAATGCACACTATCTAAGCTATTACTTGTTAAATTTTTGTAAAAAAAAAAAAGTATCTAATATTTTTCTATTATCTAACTGACAAACAAAATGGAATTTCTTTTTTTATCCAGTCGTCACCCCTATTGTGAAATTTTGTTAAAAAAATATACAGTTTAAATTAGGTATGTAATAAATAAAATTTTCATGCTTTTGGCTATAATCATTAAAATAAATGCATATACAATAAAATACAGTAAACTAGCCTAACAAAGTGGTATTTTTTCCATGATTTCATTAATATTTTAAGTATTGCAACCCTCCACGATACTATGCACTATGCGTGACCCAATTTTGAGTCACAATCCGAGGCTAAGAAATGTTAGTCTAATGAATACCTAAACTTTTCTGATAAATATTTTCAAAACATTTATCAATAAAATGTCAGCTACAAGTCTACAACGATTTCTTCAACGATAAAAATACTCACACCACATTGGCAGCATGCGTCAAACCATTTTCTATACATTGAGGCAACAGTGACAGTAGCGACAATAAAGCCGAAGATAGCGTGCCAGCTGGAGATCCATAAATAAGAACTTTTCGCCTGAGCAAAAGCAATTTAAAAAGGAGTAGTGCCTTATGCTTCCAATTCTCTATTAAGTGCAACACTGATAGACCTGTAAATGATTTGCAAAATTATTACTATAAATATAACACACATTTCATTTAAATAATTGACTGGTTCCTTTTCATCTTATATGAAAAATATCAGCATTTGATGAGGGCTTAAGTATTAATTCCCTGCTCATATATTCCACAATCAGTATAATCTGGCACTCTTCAAAGCCACAGCAGATTGTTATTTATTTGCAACAAACAAATGAGGTTATAAAGTATGTAAACAAATACCTTCAAGCATTTGATCTACTTGGACAGGACAACTATTGAGGTGTTTATATGCATCCTCTAAGAGTTGAGTTTGTGAAAAGTCTCCTTGTAGAAACCAGGCCCGCACTACAAGCTCCAATTTGACAGCAAGCCTCCCAAACAAAGGTGCCCGACATATGACACAGACACTTTTCTGCACTGAGCTTCGTGTCATGTCATCAGTTTTTTGAACTACTTGCTGGAAGAAATTTTTTTTTCTGTAATTATTCACATATTTTGCTTTCCAACAGGTATGATGACTCATTTTTAATGTCTGTGTGTCAATGTCAATCTATCTGAGATTATTGAAAAATATTAAACATGTATTTTTTGTATTGAGTTGAAATGTAGCATCACCTCACTTGCACCTAAATTTTTAGCAATTTCTATAAAATTGAGGCAGCAAGCACCCCATCTCTGAACCTTAATGCCTATTTGTATAAGTAATTTCTTGTTAAATTAAAACAAAAAATATGTATCTAATATTTTTCTACCAACAGACTAAATAAATTACCTTTTTAACAAGGCATAATCATTATTATACTACAATTAACATTGGGACAGTCCATAAATGTAAAGGTTCACTAAGAAAGGATTTCGAAAATTTAACCCCTAAAGGACTGTAACAGTTAAACATGTTAATTTCAGATGGCCTAAAAATTTATTACTAAAATTAATTATCAATATGAATACCTCTACTGGAATTTGTCGAAAACATGAAATCCCGTAAACAGTGTGAGCAGGTTCGTTCAAACCTGGCAAATTGAAATAAATGGTATCAGATAAATAATTGTGAGACCCGTCAGGAAGAGCCAGTGCTGGTAAATGTCTCCATGCTGCTGGTAGCTCGGTTGGCCGACCAGATACCAGCTCTGGATAGCAATGTTCCACCTGAAAAATAACCACAGAATAAGATTCCAAACCATTATGGAATAAAAAACCGAATCTGACTATTTTTAATTCTTATATCATATTTTATTGATTGACGAAAGCTCATATGATCTATTACCTGACATCCTTTTTTGTGATGAAATCCTACAACAATAATATTTAAAACTGGTTCATTTATTAACGACATGATGTTCAAGTAAACATTTCTTCAAACTATATTAGTTTTGCGTTTTACATTCGAAATAATATGCTACTATTGATTTGGTTTAAATTTTTGTAGGTATACATATGTACCTACGACAGAAACACAAATGTTTCACTTGTCACTTGACTGACATATGACATAGATTGTCAAATGATACTTTGATTTGATGGTTATATTGCTTAGGAATCTAAATCTTATAGCCTTTTTAAAGATAATCTGTTTTCAATATTCTAAATATTAATGCTAAACACATAACCGCAGAAAAGCCCGTAGGATCATTTTTGGTCCATGTTTTTGTATCTTCATGTAAACTAAAAACAATACCCTCCACTGTGATATACTGTAAATAATAAAAATAATAGATATACTCGGTGGAACAGAACGACCGACACTCCCGAGGTTCCTGGAGAATACTATTTGTCTTTAATATAATGTAAGAAAAAATATAAGTCTAGGTCAAATAGTTTCGGAAATATTAAATTACAACATTTTTGAAAAAAATGAGTGGCTTCAACCCTGAGTCAGCTGTTTTTGGGACGTACTAAGGAAAAGTTTTTAATCGGTCATTGACTTCTTCATTTTTAAAAACAAAATAAACTAGTTTGTGATTTATAAGACTGCTTTCATGCAAATTCTACCAGACAATCAATAAACAAGGCAGTCAAAATGCTTAAATCGATTTACAGATTAACAGCCGGTTTCTGATTTGAAAAAAGTAGAAAATTTCTACAGCTTATTCTCAATAACCTAAGTTTTTTTTTAATTTCACAAGTCAAATAGTCCTAGTTTTATCAAACTGCTATCAACTGATCATCAAAAAATTAAAATCGGAAACGAAACCTAAGTGATGTTAGTTTGAGACGTTTAACTTTAAATTCTCAATTAAGAAACCGAGTATAAAATTTTCTAAATTATTACGTAAAGAGATCAGTCTAACATTAACCTACGTTATTTTAAAAGAGCAGTTCTCCAAAAAAATTGTTTGAATGGGGTAATACTCTTTTAACAACGGGATCGTTAACTAAACTCGATAAACTCACAAATCTTCCAGCGATTCATCATTAACACAATTAAACTTTGTTTTAAAAACATTGAGGAATTTGTTATTAAAATAGCATTTAAAAAGAACATTAAAAAATGCGGTCCGTTGTTTTCTGCGCACAATCGATATTGCGCATGCGCGTTATAGGGCTCTCAACATTTAGAAATTTAAAATTTTTACTCCATTTTTACACCTCCTTTATTTTGAAATATTTGTCAAATAAAATGAACGTTTGCATTAAACCTAACTTGAAACTTTCGGCTGTGTCGGTCATTTTGTTGCTCCCTGTATTAGGGGTAACAGTATAAAATTGTAATAGGTTTCGTGAATGAGGAAGTATTTAAAAAATAAAAAATAGTTCTTGAAATCATACTAGATGTCACTCGCAATGTTTGGATTTTGTTTATGATATTCATTTAAATTTTGTTTCTGACGTAAAAAAAGTAAATTGAGTCTTTAAAATTAATAAATTTGTCATCGTTTTGTGTTTCTTATCTAACTTTCATCCGAATTCAAGTTTGGAATGAAGAACAAAAAGCGGAACGCAGAATTCAGCTTGTATTTGTATTGCTTGTGTGTCATTATGCAACTACAAAACGATTTATTAATGATATTAATATAAATATCAAAATCAATTCAATCTAGGCTGTTACATAGTACTTGTGACAGTCGAAAACTTTGCCAATGGTTCGCAAAACTAAAGCGGGAGATTTTGTACTGACAAGAATCGGCAAGAAACTCAGCGAGGGCAGCTTTTTTAGTTTCAACTATACTATATTTGAGGGAACTTAACGACCTAACGCACACGACACCACCGCAAAGATTTTAAAAGAGCATGATAGCTCTAGGTACTTAGTAAATAATATATTTTAATAAAACTTATTTCTAGAGTAGGTTGAGTAGGAAGTTAATCTATTATTAACGATATTATTGTAAGAACCAAAAAGCACATACCCACCGAATGAATTAACGTAACATAGCTTGACGTCCGCCGTCGGCATGCAAGATCAGAAGCGATAGTATAATACCTGTACGTGTAATTTTGAAGTTTAAAGTTATGACCTTGCTGTTCGTTTAGAACAGACGTTTCTTGTTGATTGCTGAATATTTTTTTAAGATAATTTAATTATGAATATAAGATTTAATAACTGATCATAGTTTTTTAAAGTCTTAATTTCGAAAGCACAAGTTATTTGGACGTTTCACGGTGATATAAGGTGGTTCTGGTTTTATGAGCACTCATCACACAGCATGTTTCTTAGAAGATTTGGAACTCAAAATTCCTTCATTGGCCGCTGTGTATTTCCAACGGAACTCCAAACCGACAGAAGACTTCGTGAACTAAAGACCTGTTGTGCACCCCTACCACGAGTACAAGGTCCTTTGACGGCCACGACTTTGGTGGTGCGATACCAGTCCTCCACATCATCTCGGCAATGAATCCAGTAGAATCCCTCTCTAATCTTCAAATTGGAGTCCGTTTTACTCCTACGTGACCTCCTGAACATCCATCATGGTATAATTTCAGCACATCTGGCATTTTGATTTTAGACATTATCATCTGAATGTGACACTTATTTCCCCGGGCTTTTCCCATTTATGATACAGTATTCCGTGTTGCATAACCGGGCTATCAGATTGTGCCCAATAACTCTTTGTGAGTGGGCTCATTGCAACCACCTTACTCCATTTAGGCCTCGGTGCACCAGCCTTGAACCACTCGACGATTGGCCGTAAATAGTTGTCATCCTTCTGTGCCTTTGGCAAAGAATCCTTTAATTCCTCACTCATATCCTCTCTCAGTGACCTTACGGGCACTGAAAGGATGGCCCCTTCTTGCTTAGTGCTTGCTGCTATCGACACAAGATTTCCTCCAAAGTGCATCGCCGTTTCCCTGCCGCTTTGAAGCGGCACTGTTAATCACCCTATCCATCATCACTAGGTCTTTAATCCTCCTCTCTTTGCTCTAGGGCATTTCATCTGAAGACGACCCCTCTGTCCGCAAGCAAAACATTTGGGGATGAAATATTGTGGACTACTACTACGAATGTGGATATATTAACTACATCCCGTACACGACGGCTGCGACTGTCTAACCGCACTACTTCTACTTCTAGAGCATGAGCTAAGACATCCTTCAGGGTCTTATGATCACCTTATCTAACAGCAGCCCTTACTTCCAAGTCATGAATCCCGTTAATGAAGGCTTGTACCAGCATGTCTTCACCCAAAACAGAATTAGACTGGTATGCTTTCCGCTCAAGTCTCTCGATCTCCAAAGCCCATTGCCAGCTCTCCGTGAAATCAAAAAATCCGTGCTTGCTCCTTAGTCCAGCCATTTATCTTGAAGCGTTGGGTTGTAGATGAAGGGTGAGAAAAAACAAATAATGTTTTTACAAACTTTATTTTATCACTCAGGGCGTAGGTATAGATTCGCTCGCTATGGTTCTTGTATCTGAATTATGAAGAGAGGACTTAGCTTTATAATAGTAAGGGGATTTAGTGACGTCGAGTCCGCGGGGTCAGTGTCACGGGCCGGGCAGAGGCTGGCAAGGGTGTAAACTCGTCGTCAGCTCCAGTTATCAGCACTGGTGATCCACGAAGACTCAGGCACAACGCAGAGCAGCGTAGGTCAGGAGGACTCCAGTAGAAGAAACCCTGTTAACATAAATACAGCACTGAATAATAGTTCAATAAGTGCGGTTACCTGTAGCCTGGAACAATTAAGATAGCTGCAGTTGCTATAGCTTCTATAAAAATCTACCGTATAAAAAAAATATAAAAATGCGTGTTACAAATGACATTAAAAATTATTTAGAATGAAGTTAAAATAAAAGATGCTATGATAATAATTTGTAAGTTAAAAAAATACAAATACTATTATATTAAATTACACGGGAATTGAACCCGTAGTTCAAATAAAATTAAAGCACTAAGTGTTCCATTTAAAATCATCTAAATTTCAAGGTTATCAAATATTATTTATAGCACGATCCGGGAATCGAACCTGAGTTGGAAACAAAATCACGAATTGAAACTAAAATAACTAGCATTCGGACAATGTATCGATTATATTTAATTTTTAGCAGACAAAATTAAATCTGAAATCTGTAAGGTAGAAAAATAATAAAATGTTAATTTTGCATAGTCTCAGAACTCCGTTTTATATCAATATATTGTTTTATGAATGTTATTACTTTAAGTATAGCAAAGAGTAATGAAAATTTTAAACATAATAAAACTTCGAAATAGATTTAGAAAGTAAAGTTACTTATTGGACTTGTGATTTTAAAAATAAAATACTTCAAGGTAATAACTTATAAGCGAGCAGTGAAAATTAAAGAAATTAAAACACTCACCCGATTTCGGGGTTATTTAGCACAAACTTACAAATAATTCAAAATCACTTAAAAAAATGAATGTGTTGTTGCGCGAGAAATCATTTATATACTATTTCTCCACCATGAGCCGCGCTGCGCTCCCATGTTTGCGTACCTCCATAGTACATTGTTATCGATGAACCTACAATTATTATTATTTTTTCCATAATGATTATTTTTTCTTTAAATTAATTTGTATTAAAAAGTAAAAAGGAATTAAGCACATCAGCTAAACATTCAAAATAGAGACAGTTTATTTAGTAAACTTTTACAATCTACATAACCATGCGAAACTGAATTTTGTAAGCAGCCCAAGATAATGTTTCATCGAAAGGAGGAATTTTAAATCCACCAAACGCAGATCTTGATACTACTGGTACACTAACAGCACACTGGGTTTTCAGATTGCCTTAAGTTTTACTTACATCCGTAATCGCACTTTCTGGCGGTAAGCCTGTTCCCCCTGGCGGCGAGCTTGTTCCTCCTGACGATGAGTTTGTTTCTCCTGGCAAGTGTTTGTTTACTCATGAGATTGTTCAATCTGTGAATGTCGGTCACGA